TTCTGCCTATGAGTATGCCTTTGTCCCTTTCAGGAAATATCTATGGTTCATAAACGATTTAATTCCCTGAATGGTCAGAAGGAAGGCTATTCTGTTACCCTGATGCAAAACTTGGCTAAGTTGATAGTCCACAGTTTTCATAGGACCTTTTTTATTTCAAACAGCTGTGGTATTTTGGCTGAAGCTCAAACTTCAGGGTAATATTCCTGGTGTTAGTATTAGGGCTCCCACCCTAAGCTTCTGTGAGGGGATTTTACCATTACAGGGCTCAGTTGTTACAATTACTAGAATCACATATTTTATTAATCAGATAGATTTACAGTATGACAGTAACACCCCTAAGGTACCTGTGGGTGTGATTTGGCAGGCCTCCTTTTTCAGTTTTCTCAGCCAAATGTCCTTTTACAGTATACTAGTTTACTGTTACTATTTCTTTTCACTTCCGCCTACCCTTTCTTACTGGTGTTGTGGGTCACCCCACTCTCTCCTTAAAATGATTCAGGGTCAGGGCTTTTATTCAGCGGGAATGCAGTTCCGACACCTACAGCACTGTATGTATGTAATGACAAGGGGTGCTGAGGTGTGCTGGAGGATGCTGGAGGATTTAATGTTGCTGGCTGTTGGGGATCTTTTGTCACTGAAGGGGATCTATTTGTGTGGTGGTCTATTATTGATGGGGGTCAATTGTTGCTGGAAGGGATCTACTTTTGAGGGAGGAGTCTATTGTTGCTGGCTGCTGGAGAGTCTATTGATGCTAGCTTCTGGGAGATCTGTTGTAGCATCTGTGGGTCTGTTGTTGCTGGGGTGGTATTTTTGTTTTGGGGACCCATTGTTGCTGGAGGAATTTATTGTTGTTGGGGGGAGGTCTACTGCTGCTGGCTGCGGGGGAACTATTTTTCTGCTTTTCTTGCTATCATGAACATTCCATAAAAATTATTTAGTACCACAAAATGATACTTGGCTCTGTATTCTATAAAAGAAGAGGTACTGGGAAGTGGGTAGGGGTGGAACCAAGTGATGGTGCTCAGAGGTGGGTAGGGGGTGGAGACAAGAAGCAAAATCAGAAGAGGGCACCTATTTTTTAAGAAATAAAGTCCTGTTCAGGGTTACTACACTTCTATTTTTCCCAGTTTAAGGATTTATTTTCCCTCTTTCTGAATGACTGTATAAACATAAACAAGTACATTATTTATTTATCCTTTCTAACTTCATGACTCAGTTTTACAAGTGGTCTTATCTTCTAATGATCGATTTTTGCCTCTTAGTTAAATTTCTTAGTGATTTATTAACACTGACTGTAAAAAAACCTATTTATTTTTCTTTTTTTCAGCTACAAGAGTCTTTTTGCAGCTTTGCCCCTGATATAATTGATTAATCTAGTACAGCAATGGGCAAACTACGGCCCGCAGGCCGTTTACGGCCCGGCGGACCTTTTAATCCGGCCCGCGGAGCGTGATACATTGGCTGTCAGGATGTGTGTAGGCGGGGCAGCGTGACGAACGTGAGGGGAGCTAGGCTCCTCTCACAACAATCCGTCCTGAAGACCGGAACGGCGCGGGAACACGGCGAGAGGAACGCGCGGAGCAAAGGTAAGTGAATTGACACAGGGGGACTTGGCTTACTACTTGGGGGGGAATAGTACTGTGGGGGATGAAATACTATATGAGGGATGAATTACTATATGGGGGATGAATTACTATGGGGGATGAATTACTATATGGGGGATGAATTACTATATGGGGGATGAATTAATATGGGGGATGAATTAATATGGGGAATGAATTACTATATGGGGGATGAATTACTATGGGGGATGAATTACTATAGGGGGGATGAATTACTATATGGGGGATGAATTACTATATGGGGGATGAATTACTATATGGGGGATGAATTACTATATGGGGGATGAATTACTATATGGGGGATGAATTACTATGGGGGATGAATTACTATATGGGGGATGAATTACTATATGGGGGATGAATTACTATGGGGGATGAATTACTATATAAGGGATTAATTACTATGCTTACTATGGGGGAATATTACTATACTTACTATGGATGACACATACACATCATTCATCTACTCTTGGTCCGGCCCCCGGGTCCAATATATGAACCCATTGCGGCCCTCAAGTCAAAAAGTTTGCCCACCCCTGATCTAGTATGTATGATGCATATACATTTCAAATACTGTGCAAAAAAAAAACATTCCAATTACTTTGCATTTCTTCAGCTTTTCTAAATTATTATTTTTTTTTTAAATATGACAGTTTCACTACTAGCACATTTTAGTGCTGCCTAACTTGCTAATGCATCATTATCACCATTAATTATATGTGTTATTAATGACATATATACTTCAACAATATGATAGTCTTTGAATGCTGTAGTTTTACTGTATAAAAGTAAATTTTTTTCTTTCCAACTGGATACCGCACCTCCTACCATAATGAGATCTGCTGACAGCTATATAATTTTCTCCACTTCACTAGGTTTGTGCTACCGAGAAAAGATTGCTTTTATCACTCAGAGTAGAAGTCACATGTTATACAATCTCTTTTATTCAAATGCACAGTTGTGTTTGTGAATCTCTTCGGTGGAAGTCAAACGCCATAGGAAGTTATTGTTAACCCCTTAGTGATGGAGGAGAAAATAAATGTTAATACCTGAACACATATTTGCAATTTTGACATGTTAATAAAAGTGTACATATCGTTGCAACTACTTTGCTTATCCTGGTGGATTATATCTTGTTTTCTTTCAGAACAAATTGGGCTTTCTTTTGATGGTAAATGGTAATGGATGTCTCTTCATTTTTTTTATTATCAAAGGAAAATTGTCCTAAAATAGTAATTTTTTTTAAATTCAGCTGTATATTTCTTGCTATTACAAGAATTAACCACATATGTGTACATTATTAATTGCTTGTACCTGTAGTAGGGCTCAGAAACAATGGTGCACATTTTGCTTTTTTATACTAACTTTAAACACACTGACACTAACTGACACTGACATACACTGATACTAATTTGAAAAATGCTTTAAAAATATGTATATATATATATATATACCTACCCTAACCTTTGATCCTTACCTTGACCTTAACACTAATCCTGGCACTGACCCAGATCAAACCTTGGTCTATATATTTGTTACTTTATTTTTTAAGATGTATTTACATCTTCATCTCCTGCAAGGTGAAAAAGATACAAGGTGTCTTCCTCTCCATTCAGAAGAGAAAACAAACACTTGACTGATCACTGTGATAGCCAATCAGAGGCTATTACAGCGATTAGGTGACTCAGGGTGTTCCAGGTCCCGATCATTAGTATGAGACCTGGGGCTCACAGTGACTGGACTCTGTGCTAGGAGCGTACTGTGCGGCACACTCCCTGCACAAAGACAGATACACAGATATGCAGTCTCGCAGATAAAAGCTGAATTCAGTGAAGCTGAATATCTGCATATAGGGAAGGGGTTAAAGTGTACCTGTACTTGAAAAGAGAAGCGTCAAAATAGCAGACAGTATAAACTATTCTTAGAAAACTCCCCCTTACCTGCTGCCAGTCCCTTATCAAGTTGTAAGGTCTTTGTTAAGACCAGGTGACAACTGCTTTAGTACTCTTCAACTTTAGCAGCAACCTTTCTAGGATGCATTATATGTGTGCACTGTCCCCAGAAATGTAGGTGCTGAATTATCTGGAGCCATTTTCTTAGTGAGGGCTAGGCAGGTGTGTGGAGTTGTTGATGTGAGTAATCAAAGGTTGTTCTCGGGGTAACCAGAACCAAGTATCAAAACCAGACTGTGCAGTAGAAACATAATCTGGAATACATGTAAGGGGAAGAAATTGGAGGAACGGTTGTAGGTGGGTGATTCTTCCTCCATATTTTTCTCCTCGTTGGGCAACAAGTGTTGGTCACATGACTAGCCCCAGAGAAGATTATTCTGTACTAAGCAGGCACCTAGAACGAATCACTCGCCTTATACTTGGGTTACCTTTACTTGTGCCATGCTCAACAATGTCCTGGGCCAGGGCAGAGTTCCTCCAACCTTTAGAGATGCCCGTACACTGTGTACACTTGAACAGAAAAACTGGACTCCAGTTAATTCTCTCAGGCCCCCAATCAGCACCCAGCTGAGCTAACCTACCCAGGCAGGTTACTGACACATGTAAATGCATACAGTAACTCCCACAAGTGAGTACACCCCTCACACTTTGTAAATATTTTATTATATAATTTCATGTGACAACACTGAAGAAATGACACTTTGCTACAATGTAAAGTAGTGAGTGTACAGCTTGTATAACAGTGTAAATTTGCTGTCCCCTCAAAATAACTCAACACACAGCCATTAATGTCTAAACCGCTGCAAACAAAAGTGAGTACACCCCTAAGTGAAAATGTCCAAATTGGGCCCAAAGTGCCAATATTTTGTGTGGCCACCATTATTTTCCAGCACAGCACTGCCTTAACCCTCTTGGGCATGGAGTTCACCAGAGCTTCATAGGTTGCCACTGGAGTCCTCTTCCACACTTCCATGATGACATCAATGAGCTGGTGGGTGGTGTTAGAGACCTTGCGCTCCTCCACCTTCCATTTGAGGATGCCCCACAGATGCTCAATAGGGTTTAGGTCTGGAGACATGCTTGGTCAGTCCATCACCTTTACCCTCAGCTTCTTTAGCAAGGCGGTGGTTGTCTTGGAGGTGTGTTTGGGGTCGGTATCATGTTGGAATTCTGCCCTGCAGCCCAGTCTCTGAAGGGAGGGGATCATGCTCTGCTTAAGTATGTTACAGTACATGTTGGTATTCATGGTTCCCTCACTGTATTGTAGCTCCCCAGTGCTGGCAGCACACATGCAGCCCCAGACCATGACCACAGAATTTAATGAAAAGAACCCCACCACCATGCTTGACTGTAGGCAAGACACACTTGTCTTTGCTACCTCACCTGGATGTCACCACACACGCTTGACACCATCTGAACCAAATAAGTTTATTGGTCTCCGCAGACTACAGGACATGGTTCCAATGTCACCCACACAATCTGGAAAACCAAATAAGTTTATCTTGGTCTCCGCAACCAACAGGATAGTAATCCATGTCCTTAGTCTGCTTGTCTTCAGCAAACTGTTTGCGGGCGTTCTTGTGCATCATCTTTAGAAGAGTCTTCCTTCTGGGACAACAGCCATGCAAAATAATTGATGCAGTGTACGGCATATGGTCTGAGCACTGACAGGCTGACCCCCCACCCCTTTAACCTTGGCAGCAATGCTGGCATCACTCATATGTCTGTTTCCCAAAGACAACTTCTGAATATAATGCTGAGCACGTGCACTCAACTTCTTTGGTCGACCATGGCGAGGCCTGTTCTGAGTGGAATCTGTCCTGTTAAACTGCTGTATGGTCTTGGCCACCATGTGGCAGCTCGGTTTCAGGGTCTTGGCAATCTTCTTATAGCCTAGGCCATCTTTATGTAGAGCAACAATTCTATTTTCAAATCCTCAGAAAGTTCTTTGCCATGAGGTGCCATGTTGAACTTCCAGAGACCTGTATGAGAGAGTGAGAGCGATAACACCAAATTTAAAACACCTGCTCCCCATTCACACCTGAGACCTTGTAACACTAAGGAGTCACATGACACGGGGGGGGGGAAAATGGCTAATTGGGCCCAATTTGGATATTTTCACTTAGGGGTGTACTCACTTTTGTTGCCAGCGGTTTAGACATTAATGGCTGTGTGTTTAGTTATTTTGAGGGGACAGTAAATTTACACTGTTATACAAGCTGTACACTCACTACTTTACATTGTAGCAAAATGTCATTTCTTCAGTGTTGTCACATGGAAAGATATAAAAAAATATTTACATAAATGTGAGGGGTGTACTCACTTCTGTGAGATACTGTATGAACTAATGAGCCAGAGTCATGTAAATGAATATGAACTAATGAGCCAGAGCCATGCTGATGGCAACTGACATATCTAAATACATGCCATAAATAACAATGTAGCTCTTCCTATGTAAAAACTCTTACATCTACCGTATTTGCCGGCGTATAAGACGACTTTTTGACCCTTGAAAATCTTCTCAAAAGTCGGGGGTCGTCTTATACGCCGGTATACGGCATACTGACACTTTTTAGGGGGGCGGCGCGGTGCCGCCGCCGCCCCCCCCCTTCCAACGGAAGGGACACTAAGTACAGGGGTGGGCAGGGGCTGCTGTCTCTTACCTGGCTCCGGTCCCACGACGATCCGGTCCAGGAAGCGCGGCTGCTCCTTCAGTTCGGCCACTGGATGTTCGCGCGGCTGCTCGGCTCCGCCTCCTCACCGGTGATTGGCCGCCAGAACTGTAGCTCAGGAAAGGCACACAGGCGGTCAATCACCGGCGAGGGGGCGGAGCCGAGCAGCCCCGTGAAAATCGAGTGCAGGAGCAGCAGGTAAGTGTGCCGTGTAGAGGTGCTGCTGCAACCACATATGCTGGCTGCAGCAGCACCATACTAGAACAGGGTCAGCAAGTGTCATTGGTGTCAGTGGGAGGAATAGTGCTCCATCACTGATACCAATGATGGAGCACTATTCCTCCCACTGACACCAATGATGGGGCACTATTCCTCCCCACTGACACCAATGATGGGGCACTATTCCTCCCACTGACACCAATGATGGGGCACTATTCCTCCCACTGACACCAATGATGGGGCACTATTCCTCCCCACTGATACCAATGATGGAGCACTATTCCTCCCACTGATACCAATGATGGAGCACTATTCCTCCCCCCACTGACACCAACGATGGGGCACTATTCCCCCCCCCACTGACACCAATGATGGGGCACTATTCCACCCCCCACTGACACCAATGATGGGGCACTATTCCACCCCCCACTGACACCAATGATGGGGCACTATTCCACCCCCCACTGACACCAATGATGGGGCACTATTCCACCCCCCACTGACACCAATGATGGGACACCATTCCTCCCACTGACGCCAATGATGGGACACTATTCCTCCCACTGACACCAATGATGGGGCACTATTCCCCCCACTGATACTAATGATGGGGCACTATTCCCGCCACTGATACAAATGATGGGGCACTATTCCTCCCACTGACACCAATGATGGGGCACTATTCCTCCCACTGACACCAATGATGGGGCACTATTCCCCCCAGTGATACTAATGATGGGGCACTATTCCCCCCAGTGATACTAATGATGGGGCACTATTCCTCCCACTGATACCAATGATGGGCACTATTCCTCCCACTGATACCGATGATGGGGCACTATTCCTCCCACTGACACCGATGATGGGGCACTATTCCTCCCACTGATACCAATGATGGGGCACTATTCCCGCCACTGATACCAATGATGGGGCACCTATTCCCCCCACTGATACCAATGATGGGGCACTATTCCCGCCACTGATACCAATGATGGGGCACCTATTCCCCCCACTGATACCAATGATGGGGCACTATTCCTCCCACTGATACTAATGATGGGGCACTATTCCTGCCACTGATACCAATGATGGGGCACCTAATCCCCCCACTGATACTAATGATGGGGCACTATTCCTCCCACTGATACCAATGATGGGGCACCTAATCCCCCCACTGATACTAATGATGGGGCACTATTCCTGCCACTAATACCAATGATGGGGCACTATTCCTCCCACTGACACCAATGATTGGGCACTATTCCTCCCACTGACACCGATGATGGGGCACTATTGCTCCCACTGGTGTGCATTGGAAGAAGGGTAGTCTTATACGGCGAGTATAGCCCAAACACTACATTTTAGCAGGAAAAGTAGGGGTCGTCTTATACGCCCAGTCGTCTTATACGCCGGCAAATACGGTACTAATTTTAATACTAATATATATACTAATTATAAAATAATATATACTAATTATAAACATACAAACAAATTTCTCTGTGCATCAAATCCTTCCAATCACAAACCTGTATAATTCATAAAAACAATGCAGTGACTTTGTTACTGTATTATTTTATTGTTACAATAATAATTAATAACTGTTACAACATTTATTAGTTAAAAATTGGCAGGTCAAAAGTCCCTTTATTGTTTTTATGAATTATACATGCTTGGGATTGGAGGGATTTAATGCACAGATTTTCTTTTATTATGAATTATGTATGTTTATAATTAGTGGATGCTAGAGTTTTTTTACATAGGAATTGATACTTTAGTTATGAATTGTTTTTTGGTACTGTGTGTTTAGTGATTACACAGGGGTGTTTCAGTTATAGATATAGGCATAGCAAAGCTGCTATAAATTTTAGTTGTAGTAGCGCAGGTGTATGTATATTTTATAGTTTCTAAATACATTATATAAATATGTTGTGACAGTGCTGGGCCCTGCCACTTTTGAAGAGATAAATAGCACACATGGTTCAGTGGAGGCCCAAGAATGGTTATTATGAACAAAGAAAACTGAATTTTTCTTTTTCTCTGGTCTTGGTAATTCTCTGATTGGGTTTTGCAGTTCCACCCAGGCGATAGGAGGTCCCCTACCCAGATCCCAGGACATGGGTCAGTGCAGACTTGAGCAGTGGTGCTGGGAGAGGAAACCAGGAGGCTTAATGTCATTTTACTTTTGTGCTTGAACTGATGGTGGAAACCAATGTAAGGGAGATCTTTTCTTTTCGTTGGAATTTTATTTTTTCCTGAAATAAAAGTAAACCTTCAAGCCCTGAAACCTATTTCCCGGCTGGTTTAAACTCAATGGAAAGAGCTACACTTGCGTGAAGCCCCTTTATGTAGTAAATGTGAAAATCACAATTGCATAAAAATATCTTTCTTCAATACACTTTTATATGCTGCTGAAAACTATAGATATATCCTGATAGTGTGAAGAAGCCATACAACATAGCAATCCCAATGTTTCATCACAAAGTGAATAACCACAGGTTTCCTAGAGTTAACCACCATCAATTTATTAGTAGCACAATAAACTTTTAAAACTCCTCTGTACCCTGATACCTGCCCCTGTTATTAGCTATTCTTTTGTCATGTTTTAGCCTATAGCAAATTAGTTGGAGGTTTTGTCACCAGCGTTCCATAGCTGTGGCTCCAGATACCTGACACTTCTATTTTTAAATTCCACTCTATTATGCTAAGTAAAGATATATTCATTCTTGAGTTTAGCCACTGCTTTAGCCGTTAATGAATTGTTCCACTGCTGGAGAATTCATTTAATGAGTGAATTGGAATTGCTTAGTGAACTAGAATATTGTAGTGGCATCTTAGTTTTGCCTCTTAACGTGTTTTCAATTTAATAACACATTAGCTTTTAATGCAAAATAAAATGATTTAATTCTACAGAATCTCTGTATTCATTCATAAATAGCTGGTTCATCTCCATTCCCAAAAGTATCATACTTCTAGCACATTCTGAACATAAAAAAATCGAAACTAGTTTATTTTCCAATCTATCATCCATCTAAATTTCTATCCACCCTAGACCTCTTTATATTGTCTATAACGGGCTGATTCTGTTATCTGATCCTCAAACGCTCATTTGCAGTTGTGCTGGAACAGCAAATCTGTTATGATTTTAAAGCATCTGTGCATTTTCTGGAATCTCCCTTTCCAAAGTGACTTTGATAGCCCAAAAGAAGAGATAGAAACAATAGATATAGATAGATAGATAGATAGATAGATAGATAGATACAGTGCCTTGAAAAAGTATTCATACCCCTTGAAGTTTTCCACATTTTGTCATGTTACAAACAAAAACGTAAATGAATTTTATTGGAATTTTATATGATAGACCAACACAAAGTGGCACATAATTGTGAAGTGGAAGGAAAATGATAAATGGTTTTCAAATTTTTTTACAAATATATATCTGAAAAGTGTGGAGTGCATTTGTATTCAGCCCCCGAATCAATACTTTGTAGAACGAACTTTCGCTGCAATTACAGCTGCAAGTCTTTTTGGGTATGTCTCTACCAGCTTTTCACATCTAGAGAGTGACATGTTTGCCCATTCTTCTTTGCAAAATAGCTCAAGATCTGTCGGATTGGATGGAGAGCGTCTGTGAACACCAATTTTCAAGTCTTGCCACAGATTCTCAATTGGATTTAGGTCTGGACTTTGACTGGGCCATTCTAATACATGAATATGCTTTGATCTGAACCATTCCATTGTAGCTCTGGCTGTATGTTTAGGGTCGTTATCCTGCTGGAAGGTGAACCTCCGCCCCAGTCTCAAGTCTTTTGCATTCTAGACAGGTTTTCTTCTAAGATTTCCCTGTATTTGGCTCCATCCATCTTCCCATCAACTCTGACCAGCTTCCCTGTCCCTGCTGAAGAAAAGCATTCCCACAACATGATGCTGCCACCACCATGTTGCACGGTGGGGATGGTGTGTTCAGGGTGATGTGCAGTGTTAGCTTTCCGACACACATAGTGTTTTGCTTTTAGGCAAAAAGTTCAATTTTGGTCTCATCCTACCAGAGCACCTTCTTCCACATG